GCTGTAAGGTTTTGTAAGAAGCAGGTTAGAAAAGGAGCTGGGCATAGTGGAGTATACCTGTAATCCCAGCATTAGGGAGGCTGAGGCAAGAGGATCACTGTGAGTCTGAGGCCACCTGGGCTACAGAAGAGAGTTCAAAGCCATCCTGAACTACACAATGGGACTCTGTCTTTTTAAAAAAATCCTAAGAGGATATTTTTCTTTTAATTTTCAAAATATACATACTAGCGTGCTTCCAAATCTATTGGATCATAATCAGTGGGTCAGTGTAGGGTACGGGTGCAACATTACCTCATGCTGCAAGTTATTTTTCCCTCACTTTTTAGTGCAAGAAATTCAAACCCATAAAATAGATAAGAGATTGCAACTCATATACTTAACCTTTGACACAAAATCTATACAATTTATATTTAAAATCTCTCAGGCAGTTCTGAAGATGGTCAGTTCTTTGGATCTGGCAATTTATGTCCTGGCAACCTTGTCGGGGGCTGAATCAGAGTGGGGATCAGTCTTGCTTTCTTAGTCACTTTCTCCTCTGGGATAAAGGACCTAGCACCTAAAATTTAAAGGAGGAACACTTTGTTTGGTTCAGCCCCTGGACGCTGGCTGCAGGGTGCCGCAGGGGCATGGTGGAAGACAACCTGTTAGCTCCCAGCAGCTGGGAAGCAGAACGGAGAGAGATGCACCCAGAGACTCATCTCTTCAGACCAGGCCCACTTCCCAACCACACCCTCAGCTGCAGAGCTCCCCATGATGGGATCCTCTCTGGAGCAGAGTGCTCTGTGACCCAGTCACCTTCCGATGCCCCACCTCTGAGTGATGAGAGTTCTAGGGGTCATTTTTTATCTAAACCGTAGCACACATTGGAGGCCATTAGTGCTGCTTGGAGCTGTCGTTTCGTTTCAGCCAGCAGACAGCACCCCACTGGGACTTCCTTTAACCTGTTCTGTGTATCTCTGGAAGAGCCATGGAGAGATTGTTGAGCTATAGCTGAGAGTGGCATAAGAAGCATTGCCCTTGATTTACTTTGTTGATATTTCAAGAGTGTGTGTTGTTAGTATCTTGTTATAGGTAATTGAACACAAATGTTGGGTTATAAATCAATTCTTAAGTGTATGTAGAACAATGAAATGGAAGCTCAGTCTAAGCTTCTTAAGTAGCCACCAGAGTGCAAAAAAAAAAAAAAAAAAAGCTCATCAATACGTTTAAAAATTCCAGAGCAGTGGACCACTTTAAACTCATCTAAGTGATTGTATCTTTTTTTGGTATATGTAGGGGTTTGAGGGGGTCACAAAACCCTTTAGGAATTTGATGAAATTGCTAGATGTTCTGTCTAGTGATTGTATATATGAGCCAAATATAGTTTATTTGACATGCAAATTCAGGGTAATCCTCTAAGAATCTGCCAAGTTAAAAACTCTTTTTTGTATTGTAAAAGAAGGTCCTGATTTTGTTGTGAAAGCTAAAATATCCATAAGTGGTATTTTAGTTACTTTTTAGCCTTGGGATAGTATGCACAACTTTAAGGAGGAAATTCACTCAGGGAAGATGTTTTAAAACACTCAGATATGAAAGTATTCCCTGTGTTCTCCTAACAAGTTGTTTTAAATTTCATTTAAGCATACTTGACACTAGCGTTTGAATTCTTTATTGTTTTATTTGTATTTATCAACTGTTTGTAGAAGTTTTCATCTGTAATTAGCTGGCTCAGAGGAAGGGGTGGCCTGGCAGCAGGGAAGGGGAGAAGAAGAGGGCATGGCATAGCAAACAGGAAGGGGAGAGAGAGAGAGAAAGAGAGAGAGAGAGAGAGAGAGAGAGAGAGAGAGAGAGAGAGAGAGATTGATCTAGGGAGGAGGGCAAGAGGTAGACCTCTGCCCATGCCCCCAGGAACTCCTCTGAGTGGGCTTCACCTCCCAACACCACATTTAGCTATGAGCTCTACTCCACTGATGAGTAACCCACCCCTATGATCCAATCACCTCGCCAGTGTCCCACTTACAAGCACATAGGGCTCTTGGAGGACATCTAGATATAAACCATAACAACAGGTCAATAGTTGGAAATAGTCAATAAATATATCAATTTATGGACAAAGACAAAATTCTCCCTGCTCTCTAAATTATCCTATTCAATCTTCTGGAAAACTGAGAAGAGTAAAATATTCCATACATGTTTTATCTGATTCCTTAAGTAGCTACCAAGAGTGCAAAATAGCATTAGTTTTACCACCAAGGGAAGGCTTCTGGTTTATTGGTTCGGTACTATTTTCTTACCAAGGGGTCCTTTCTTAAATGTCACTCAGGGAAGAAGTCCTAAAACACCAAAGATGAAGATATTTCATATCCCTCTCATAACAGGTTGTTTTAATTTCCATTTTAGGATACTTGATACTTGCATTTGTATTCTTCATTGGTTTATTTGTATTTATTGACTCATAGAATTCAAGCAAAAATCTTGTTACCTTCCATATCATTGTATTCTTAGCAGGCACAGTGCCATATACCACTTAAGGGCTAAGAGATACTTGTTGACTTGGTGAATAATGGATTTTCAGAGTTCATAGTAAAACCCAGGTGTATGAATTTTCCCCAAGGTACTTAGGAAAGATATCTGGCCAATTAATTGTGTTTGTAATGAATTCTTTTACTGATGGTGATACTGAACATTAGCCAACTTTCTTTGTAACTGGCATGTGGTAAATTGAAATATGGATCCTAAAAGAAATTTTAAAAAGTCATGCCAAAGCACAGTTCTAAGCAATAGCCTTTAAATCTCGGGCTGCTGGGAAGACCAGCCACAGATAATCTGCTGTGGATGCCAGATACCAAAGGAGTTGGCAAGCTGGGGGTAAAGTCAGCTTTTGGAAGAGAAAGACAAAGCAACAGGTACTGCAGACTGTTCATGGTTGCTTATGAGAGAATGGGCCTGATGCCCAGGGCTTGGTCAGGGGAGCAGGTCAGACTGCCAGCTACTCACTTCCCGGGGGGGGGGACCTGAAGTCTTACTCACCGTTTACTAGTTCTTTTGTTCCTTCCTTCCTTCCTTCCTTCCTTCCTTTCTTTTCATTCTTCTTTCTTTTCTTCTGGCTGTGCTGCAATTGCACTAATGGAAGGCAAATATTCTATCACTAAGGTACATCCTCAATATCAGTCTTTTAAGATTTGTCTTTATTTGGAGACTGGGTCTTTCTAGGTTGCCTAGGCTGGCCTCCAAGTTGCGACCCTCTTGCCTCAGCCTTCCCCGTAGTTGGGGTTGGGGCTGTGGCCACTGCACCTGGCTCTAGCTATTTTCTTTGAACCACTGTAGTTTATCTACAAAGTTATACAGACCTACGGGAGCATTTACTATAATCGTTCTTGCTTTTTCTCCCTCTACCCTACATTTGAAAATTTATTTTAAAATTGAAAGTAGATACTATGTAAGCACCTCACGCACATATTCCACGATATATAGGAAATCTCTATTGTTTATCAAATCTTGATTCTAAATATTAGAAAATATGCATGTTTCTTGTTATTTGCATATAATCAGGACAAAAAGCTCAAATTAAAAAGTAATTAGACATCTTTGAAAGTCCTTTAGAATTCAACGTCACAGTTTTCTAACTAAATACTAATTACTACAGTTCAGCGCACACATATACAAACAAAACAAGGATGGAAGAAAGAAAGAAGATTGGAGGGAAGAAAAGAACAAAGGAAGGAGCAAGGGAAAAAGAGAGAGAGGAAGGGAGGGAGAGAAGATGGAAGGAGGGAAGGGAGGGGAGGAGTGGGGCTTTTTGTATCAGACGCTCAACATGTAGCATTTGTTTTCTGCTCCAACTAGAACCAAGATGTCCAAAGAGTATGTTGGGGGTCCTTGCTTTTTAAAATGATTTCTAGCTCTGTGGCCCAGTCAGGGAGTATGGAGGGATTTGGGCAGATTCCAGGAAGCAACTTCTTCCATGTAGAGAACTGGGGACCATAGTGTCCAGCTTCCACGTAATTATTTTTGCAGAGTAGGTGGCAAGTTCTCAAAGGAATCTTGTCTGTGAGACACCAATAGTTCCGAGAACTTTTGGTATAACTGGCTGCACAGTAAATGGCTCTGAGCTGGAACACACTAGACCCCAGGGACCCTGGGCTGTGGTGCAATGGCTGATAGGTAAACTCCGCTGCGTGGCTCAGATGACAAGTGGGTGGAGACAAGGTCCTGCTAGGCTTTCTTCTGGGCTCATTTTTCTTTCCTTCCAATCCCCAGCGGCTTTATCATGGACTCTACCACGTTCAGCACAGCTTTAAAACCCATATGGAATACAAAATTGTAGGAAGAATTTGGGTTTTATTTTTCTTCTGGGTTTACTGTGACTACTCAGTTCAGCACACTTAGTCATGTGTTCCTTAAACCGCAGGATCCTGAGGGCAGACTCTCTGGGGGGAAAGGGGCTCTGAGGGTTGATTAGCACCATTTGCCCGCTTCCTGCCTCTCCTCTGCTCAGGTATTAGTTGCTCAGATTGCTGAGCTAGTGCTCAGCTCCCGAGGTCCCTTGCTTCATTTTAATGCAAGCCAGTGATGCAAAGTCCCCAGCTTGGCCTGTCAGAACTTGATAGCTCTGTAAACACTGAAATCCTGTTGCCATAACACCAAGAAAAATAATATGGGATCTTGCATATAAATATAGCGGAGGCCTTGGGGAATGGGAGCATTTCTAAATGGCTTGAGTCTCTGTCATGGCATAATCTCTTATAAATAAATGTTAACGTAGTCACTGAATACAGACTGGATTTTTGCCTGACTATGGTGTTCAGCCTTCTAGACAATAGTTATGCTAAGGGATTATCTTTTAACATAGTGCAGTTATCTCTTTTGTTTGTTTTCTTTTTTCATTACTCACATAAGCCAGGGGAAATGAAAAGCATCTTATTTCAGGCAAAAGGGCCTGTGAATGATTAACTCTGGTTCCTTGCGTTGGGACTTTGCATAGCAACCCCTTGGCTCACAGCTAGAAAAGGACTCTGGGCCGCGGCGGCAGCAGCAGTGGGAGCAGGCACAGCAGCACCAGCACAGGGACCTGAGACCAACATTCTCCAATGGAGGTGGTGGGAAAGAGATTGAGTATAAGCATTCTGCTTATGGGTAATTTCTCTGTAGCTGGCTTAGTTCATTTTGCATTGGTTTTACTGCACTTTTCTTGATGGATATGTGTTTTCCTGACCTTTGCTTTAGCATTTGTTCTCACTTTTGAGTATACTTGAGAGCCCAAGTTCACCTTGGCCATGAAGATGGAGTAATCTGATTTATGCTACCGTATTTTATGTCCCCCCCCCAATATGATCCAGAGCTGGGCTAACTCTGTCTAATTCTATATGAAAAAGTAGAATTAACAGGTAGTTTCATAGGGGTTTAGGGTTTTAATCTTAGCTCACCTAAAATTCTGTTTTAGCAGTCTTGAAATTATAAGCACAAAGCTTTAGATGAAAGAAAGAGAAGGGAATGGAGTGATCACACGATCCTAATTGAAAGGACCTGAGTATATAAAGGACTCACACTGTACAAATATGAAAGATGAAATCAAGACCAATTCCTTATTTTTTGGGTGGACATTTGGTTATTAAATATTTATATAACAGGGTCTATTTTAATGGAAAATAAGACAAGTTAAAAAAAGACAGAAGAAAATGAATGTAAGCTAAGGACAGAAGAAACACTTGAGAATTTAGCGAAATGCAGTATAGTTATAATTGAGCCAAAATATTTAGGGCACTTAAATTTAGACTGCAAGTCAATCCAGATGTTTATTTATTAATGTTAATAATGTTTCCAGTGTTGTTATAGAATACTAAATCCCAGGGGTTCCACTGCTAAGTTTAAAGACAAATGCATGGTTTTTATTCTTTTCCAGCTCTGTTTTAATTTTAGGGTTTTTCTATAGCCATTATTTTCCTGTAAATGTGTTTGCAAAATCTTGAGCAGCTCCTGATGCCTTGCAAAAAGTCTGACTAAAACATTGGTCTAGCAAAGCTTCCCCCCTGCATTTCTCCTCTGGCTTCCATGGCAATAAAGAAAGAAACTTGGCATAGGAATATAATCTGTTCCTGCCTGTTTTTCATCTGAAGCCATAAACTTCTGCCATCCCACCCAAGACTAGAATTTCAGCTGGCATGAAACAGCTGTCTGCTTACAGGTTTATTCCGGTAGTAACCAAAGACAAAACTATTTTAATGAAGGCCCTAGGCTGTTCTCCAAACCCTCACAATCTCTGGGTCATCCCCAAGAAGAAACCATTGAAGAAAAGGTACAACTTACATGGTTTCTGATGGTTTTTGACACACTGTGTATTTATGAACCTTAGAATATTTTACTCTTCTAATTTCTCTCGTCTGGATGCCATGAAAAGCAGGAGGGCCACAAACAGAGCAGAGCATGCGGGTGAGGCACACAAGCTAAGTCAGCAAGGAGCAGGCCGGGTGGGGGGCAGTGCCCAATCCAAGGGGCTTCTGCTACTCTGCTCCACTTATTATTACCAGAAGGGAGCTGAGGAGCCCAATACCGCCAGGTATTTAGATTTGTTAATAGAAGTTCCCAATCCTGCTTTTTTATGTCAACTCTACATAGTTTTAAATGGTGACAATCTGAATTCAAATCAAAACATGACTTACATAGGAGGGTTCCTCATCCTCAATGGCTAGGTTTTGCTACCAATTCATTATGGCAGGCTTTACATTTTCAGCCACTTAGATCTGTAATGATCAGGTGGCATGCTACCACTTGGTTCAATGTCTGCAAAGGTCCATGTATCGAATGTTTGTTTCTCCTGGTGGAACCTTTGAAGGGTGGAGCCTAGACCTGAAAGGGATCCCAACCTTTTCCTCACTCTTACTGTCTGGCCATGATGGGCTTCCTCAGCACAGGCCCAAGACCACAGGGCCAACTGGTTATGGACTGAAATGTTTGAAATTAAGGGCCCAAGTAAAACTCTTCTCTTAATAAGTTGATTATATCTGGTATTTGTTATAGTGATGGAAGGCTGATTAATGCATACTTCATCCATTTCTTTTTTTTTCCTGGGTAGTACTGCCTAAAGAATGTAAGTATTAGCATTGGGGGAAAATGTGTATTTTACTAGTTTGAAATTTTACAAATTATGCCTTGCAGCAGCATGAACTCTTAAAGCCTCTCTTATAACATGTGGAAATGAGAACATATTCTGCATAGCAGTTAAGAGGATTAAATAAGATTCTGTAGCTGGGTGTGGTGGTGCATGCCTGTAATCCTAGTGCTCAGGAGGCAGAGACAAGAGGATCGCTGTGAGAGTTTGAGGCCAGTAAGGACTGCAAAGTGAGTTAAAAGCCAACCATGAATTGCATAGTAAAACTATCTCAAAAGGGCCAAAAAAATTGATGTGTAAAAAGCTTAGCCTGGTTCATAGGTGCTCTTTGCATGCATGTTACCATCCTAAACATTATTATAAAGTAATCCATTTTTAAGGGCGCAAGATCTATCAGAATGAGTTTGTCTCAGAATAAGGAGAAGGGTCTCTCTGTAGGTCTAACATGCTATGCAATACAAAGAAATTCTGTGAGGAACCATGCCTATGGCCTTAAATTTTTTTTTTAGAATTTTGGAACTGAAAAAGAACACGAAGAAACAGAAACTCTGTCATCTAGAAATTATAGACACATCCATTTTATCTCAGAAATTTAAGTTGGAGCAATAACAAATGAGTGCTTTCATTAAAATGCAGTATGAAATGTTATGAACATGACTTGTTAGGAAAATAAAACCAGAGAGCATGTCTGAAACCATGTTGTGAAGTGAGAGAACGTAGGCTAACGTTGTTCCTACCAATTTCTGTGGGAATATTTATTTTGGAAGCGGCTGGAAAAATGGCATTCAGAACATTTCCTTCGTTTGCACCCAGGCAGATCTGTGATTAGAGACAATGTCTTCCCCACTGTGTGTGGACCCATGATCTGTGGATGGCTGTGGCAAGAGACCACTCATCCAGTCCGGGCTCAGCAAACCGAGTTGGAGAGGGTGCTTTCTGCTAATTTTTCCTTCCTGACTTCTGTTCAAAATTTGTTGCAAGTTAAGCATTAGTGTTCAAAGGAAGAGCCTTCCTTCCTTTTCCTGGAACAGCTGCAAGTAATAACGGAAAGAAAAAGAGTCAGGCGAACAAATAGCCCAATAGTAAAAAACGAAACGGCGTAATCATGCAATAAGGTTCAGTGTATCTAGTTTCTTTCCCAGGACAGATCTTCTTGCTTGACAGGAACTCGGACAGTATGATACTGAGTGGTGTGGCTGTGTAATGGATCATTTGAATTGTTCTACTATAAGCCACTGATTTTTTTTTTTTTTTTTGCTGACAAAACTTTTTCCTTGTTCATTTATTTTACAGTCCTAGAGATTGAATCCAGAGCCTTGTACATCCTAAACAATGCTTCACTACTGAGCTGTGCCCCCAGCCCTTTTTGCTAAATTAGTCAAATTGGCCTCAAACTCGACGCCCGTTTGCCTCACCTTAGCCTCCCGAGTAGCTGAGATTGTAGGTGATTGCCACCACACCTGGGCACAGACTCATATTTCTAAAACTCATGATGCTGTTCATGTATGACTGAGGTAAAATCTTGCTGATATTTAAGAAACGTTATGACTCTGAACAACATTGTTATCTTCCATGAAATAGAAAGCGTACTAGGCACTTAGTGGACATTATTTATAAGCCTCAGCGCTCTTTGTGTAGGTCTTTATGGCCATTTTACAGAGGATTAAATTGGATCTCAAGTATCAGTGGGTTCTGTTGGGGGTCGTAGATGGTTCAATAAAACTAGAATTGAGGCACATTCTCAGCTCTAGGTCTCTCTACTCTATATGTCCTCAAGTGCGTGGAGAGTTCCTTGAACATCTTGTATAAAAACTAAGCTACTTAGACATAGTCAGCACTGAGACCTCCTGCAATCCAGCAGCCAAGCCAGGATGGAGTAAGAACAATTGAAAAATATCAGAAGCATCCTTTTTCCAAACTCTCAACCTCACACTTGCCAGGCAGACACTTGGGCCACTGAGCTAAACTCCTGACTCTGACATGCCATTTCTTACCACACAAAGAACTATATTCTCCTTGTTGTTCTTACTTACTATGCAATATTAAAGAAAAATAGAAAGGAAATGAACACAAATTGGAATGGTAAAGTATAGGGTGAGAGATTGGGATCGACAAAGATGTGAAAAACTAACCCCATCCTCCTTTTCTTTCATTAACTCGGGCACCTCAAGGGTGTAAATGGCTGGTAAATTTGATTGTAGCAAATGTCAGTAACTAACAGTGTCAGATATTCAGCAGACCAAGAAGTGATTGTTCAATAACTAGTGAGTGAACATTTCAGGTCTTTGGTAGTCTCTTTGCTTGTGTCTCCTCTGGATTCCCTTTACCCCAGCCACCTTTCCATAGTCCCACCTTATAAATATTAGTAGGTGATGAGGAAGTTAAAAGACCATCCTGGGTGGAGAGGAAATTCTCACACTTCCCTGGAGACAAGTTATCATGCAATAGCAACCTGCAAACATCAGTGTTACAGAGTCTTTTCTTTTTCTTTGGAGAAGAATATGGGGCTGTATATCCACACATCCAATCTAATTGTTTGATCATTTTTTTTCATGCCTGTGTCTTATAGTCTGAGCAACTACTTTGAAGATAACAATATGCAGTATATTAACCATTGTTAATCTTCTATTTTGTTGTTTTGAAATTATGTATTATCATTTTTGTTCTTTTCCCATTTTAAAATAAACAGTTACTCCTGTTGTTACTTTTGAACATTAGGCCAGGACTCTGCAGGAGTGGGAGAAGCATACAGAAGCAGTTTTATAAAGGGATGCAACGTGAAGACAGCAAAGTCACAGGAGGCTGATCTTACTACTTTCATTGGTGTACAGAGACGAAGTGCTGGGCTCTTTTTCTTCACCATGGCTGTGAATGTCATTATCTCAGGAGTTAATTAGGGACTAGGGATATAGAACATTTGCCAGTATGCACAAGGCCCTGGGTTCGATCCCGGGCACAGCAAAGTACAAGCCAAACAAAATACAAAAATCAGAAACAATAACAACAACAACAAAAAAATGAGTGAATT